ACCTGGAATTTTCACTTCTAATGTGGTAGTCTCATGACATCCTACATATAATTAACAAATGCATTCTCTGAAAATGGATCCTTGGGAAGTCAAAAGGATCCATAGTCAAGGGTAAGGCAATAGATATCCACAACAGTCTAATAACAGTTACTTAGTGCTCAGAGAATCCTGGCAGATGGCTAGAGATGAGAGGGACAGACCATGGCAGGAGTGAAGGAAATATCCTATAGTGCAGCATTCCCCAACCTTTTTAGCCCTACGGATCGGCTGCGAAAGGCGGGGCGGCCCCCCCCCCCCCAGGAGTGGCAGGGCACTCATGCCGGCAGGCACGCACATTCTTGTGCGCAAAAGGCAGCGCGGCGTCGTGCTGGCGCACAGGTGCTTGTGCGGATGCTCAAAGGGTGGTGCGGCACTCAGGGGGCACTTGTGGACATGCACGAAGGGGTGAGGGAGCGCTCAAGTGGGCACAGGCGCATGCGTGCAGGCACAAATGGGCTGTGCAGGGGGGAGTGCTTGCGGGGGTGGGGTGGTCTGTCTCCCTGGCCCTGTCCAGCTCAGACCAAGGACTGGCACTGGGCTGCAGACCAGAGGTTGGGGACCTCTGCTTTAGTATAGCTAGCTAACCATAATCCTAAACAAGCATAATCTTCACTGCAACATTTTGTTGCAGAATTCACATGTTCATTCTAATATCACTCTGTCTCTCACCCATACAATTCCAGAGACCTTGTTTGTATTTTATTACCTGGACAGCTGGATTATGGTTCAACAAATCCAAGAATGGGGCTAAGGCATACGTATCTGGATCTCTAGATAAACACGCTCTCTGTGAATGTTTCATATATACTGTTCTTGTATTAATGGTGCACCAAGCCCACTGGAAGGCATGATAGTTAAAAACAGACTTCACATTTTTAGGAAACAAAGGCTGCAAAGAAAAGAAAAATGGCTGGGAGGAAACAAACAGTTCCTGGAACAGTTTCCTTTGCTCACGGGCCTTTCCTCTTAGGGGCTCAGGAAGAAGTTCCACTGTTTCGTGCTCCAAACAAACAGGACAGGTATAGGTTTCAGGTAAGAGATCCAGGTATGGCTTCCACAAAGACTTCTCTTGACCAAATTTTTCTGCTATTAAAAATGTACACAATGCTATCAAAGGAGAAACTGGGGGCTTCCATCTGTTCAAATAGCAAAAAAGAAAGAAGGAAAAGAAATGGGTATGAGAATTATTCAAAGTATTTGCACACAATCCCTGTCACTAAATATCTGAAGCTTGCTCACAAGTAAGAAGGTTTTATATCGCTACCTAAATTTTGTTGCATTATTTTTTCTGGCTTAAATTACTGATTCAGTTGTTCTACTCTAACTGGATGTTATGTGCTGCCAAGCTGGAACTGATTATTAGGAGCCCTAATAGGGTGGGCTTTCAAATTAAGTAGGATATTTAAGGTGCAAGGTGTAGTTTTACCAGTTCCACACCAGTTTCCAGGGTGAGTAGGGATTCAAACCCAATCCATCAACCTATTCACTACACCTCACTAGGTATCAGAACTGGGCACAGCAACTAAATTTACACACACACACACCTTCAGTAGCACCTCATATTTGTTAGCATGTACAATAAAAAAAGAACATGCTACAATCTTTCATGTCTAAACGGCTCAGCTGCAATCAGGATAATTAACTCAGTAAGGAGAAGTACAAACCCTAGCAGTAATAGTTCAAATAAGACATCTATCAAATCTCAGTAAATAAAACTGAAATGTTTCCAACTTACTCTACAATATATTTTCTGAGGTAGCTGTTAAGCACAGTATCAGTGGTAAGCAAGCATTTTTCAGGCAAAGAAATAATCAAGTCTTCGGCCTATGGAATGTTTAAAAAAACCCAAATGATTATATCTTCAAAACACATTTCTAATTACATCTATATTGGATAATAAAGATAGATAATCACCCCCAGCTAAACACACAAGCAGGACCACATAATTCTCAGAATACCTCAAGATCCCTGCATTGTAGGGGGTTGGACTTGATGGCCTTATATAGGATCCTTCCAACTTCACTATTCAATGATTGAGCCCCAAACATACTGCAGCCTTTAAACACATATATTTACAAACACCACCCAGAGCGGGCTTGTAGCCAGATGGGCAGTATAGACATCAAGGAAATAAAACACACACACAAACGTGTACACACATGTACTGTGATCTGGCAGTGGCAAAGAATCCATGATAAAATGCCATATCCCACTACATACACAAAGGTGCAGAACGGTGGCATCTCCATAAATAGTAAAACCCAATTAGAAATCACTGAATAGAAGAAATTATCCATAGACAAGGGAACAACTACAGACAAATGCTACTGAAATATTTTCCACAAAATGTAATATTGAACTGACTTCCTAAGCCACGTGAGACTTCTGTACTGCAGTCAAAACTGTGCTCACGACCTGAGGTTCAATCCCAGGTAGATGTCTCAAGATTCACTCAGCCTTCTATCCTTCCAAGGTCGGTAAAATGAGTACCCAGCTTGCTGGGGGGGCAATGTGTAGCCTGCATAATTAACTTGTAAACCGCCCAGAGAGTGCTTGAAGCACTATGGGGCGGTATATAAGCAGCACGCTTTGCTTTATCTAAGTAGCCATGCATAGGACTGCACTGCAAACCACAGATTAGGTATTCCAGAGCTAAAAGGAATTCAAAACCAGTATTTAAGATTTGCAAAAGGTCTATCATTGGGCCATGTAGATTAGTGAAATCTTCAGTCAGACTGGACTTGAGATGCAGTTTTCCATCTTCTTTCAAATCTAGTTAGAGAACTTCCAAAAGTAACTGAAGCCGGCAGTGCTCAGATAAATGTATTTTAAAGTCACAGAACCGGTCCATTTTCTTGACTAAATGGTAAATTAGCAAAATGTACTCTTTCAAGATCTTCAAAAAGATACTTTGATCAAAGTTTTGTAACTTTTTTCCTTTACATTAATAATTTGGCAAAAGCCAGAAAGTTAATGAATTTTATTTGATTAATAATCCTAACCTCTACACACTTCTCCAAGTGTTTAAATGTAAAACGGCAGAAATATGCATACGGGTCTTGTACCAACATTCCAACGCTGTGCTTAAATGGGATTAAACTGTCAGAAGATTTCTTTTCTATCCATTTCTCATGCTACTTAAGTCACCAGAGTTTGAAAATTAGAAACAAGTCAGAGGCTGTTTTGTTCCTAGTTTTCAAACTTTCCAGCTGATGTGGTAAATACTACTTATCACCACTTGGGGGAGCAAAATCATTTCATAACTGGTAGCACCTCAAAAGCACAGAGCTTAGGAAAAAAAAGGAGAGAGCAACACCTCCCCTTCCTTTTTGTTAAGACCTGCGGGCACCCTTGCCTTTTGAGAAGTCACAGAGCTTAGCAAAAAGGAAGAGAGCAATGCCTCCCCTTCCTTTTTGCTAAGCCTTGTGCCTTCGCAAAAGGCAGTGGTAAAGAGCTGCCTTCCGTGTATAAAACAACCTTCAATTTTTTCTCAAATTATTTAAGGAAAAAGTATCATTTTATACATGAAAAAATTATTTCTATTATTTTCTCTTCTTTTAACCCAGCTCTTCCGTGCTTTATTTTGAATCGCTGCTGCTTATGCTTACAGCTATTGTCACGATTAATTTTATAATTATGTCATCTAATAAGGTTCCTTCCAGCTGTACAATGCTGGAACGCCAGTGTTAAAACATTGTAATTCACTTTGTAAAGACACAATATAAAAATGGTGAAAATTTTATGGTGCATTGTCACAAAGAGAGAAATACATAAACAATTAGGATGGAGGACACAGGGTTATATAATAAATTATTTGAAATCCAACACAGTCTAAAGGCTTTTGTGAAAGAAGCCTTAACATGAAAAGGGTTAATACTATACATAAAGACATCAGAATATATTTCCTATATACATTCCCCATATTCTTGATCTGACCCATAGGATCGGCATCTGATCCCTCTGGGGAATACAAACCTGTAGATGTTTTGTGGCCATCAATCCTCTTCCTGT